CCGGTGCTAGAGCAGTGCAAGTCTATCTGAACAGCATTAACTCGTGGCAATTGATCGTTAACTGGCGGCAATTGATCGTTAGCTGGTGGCAATTGATCATTAACTCGTGGCTATTGATGATGATTCCATGGCAATTGCTCATCGTGGCTACTGACCGTTAACTCGGAGCGATGGATCATGAACTCGTGGCAATGGCCCAATAACTCATGGCAATAACTGGTGGCAATTGATCACTTTGACTAGTTTTTGATCGTAATTAATTGGGATAGGGAATGGCTGGGATAAGCTCTTCGAGATTTGGGAACTATTGAAGCTCAAAGAGCAACTAGAATTGATCGAGGAAGTGGTTACGTCAACACAAACCATCAGGTCTGATGACGTGAATCTCGAACGATGAACATCCCAAGAGAAAAGATTTCAATCTCCCGAACCGTGTGGTTCGATCTGACGACGTCGCCTGTTGGTAAGAAAATCGACGCGAAAGGCCCTCAGGAACGGCGCTCCTTCATAAATTTCAACGGAGACACAACAGGAAACTCAGTGTTGACAGGAACTTCTACACAGTCTTCAACTTTGGTGACAAGCGCTCAAGTGGAAGCGGAACCAGGATACGTTGTGTTTGTACTACTAAAAGGAAAGGAGAGAAAGGAGAAGAGAAAGATGAAAGGAGAGACCAAAGCACAGACAGCGCAGGAAGTGAGGAAACTTCCAGTGAGGAAAGCACAAAAGAAGGAAAGCAAAGACCAAAAAAATAACCTAAGAAGCAAAGGACTCAAAGAAAGTGAGTTTCAAAGCACTGTGTGTGTCTGTGTTTCTTGGAAATGAGAATCGAAGCCAGCTTAGTCTGAAACGACGGGGTGTTAAGCAGTACTGCCGGGTAGGAACACACAGTTTGCCGTGTATAGGCATGCATAGCAGTGAGCCATGAACCTTTGCGACACCTAGGCTCAAAGACAGCGACCACCCGTGCAGGTGGAAGGAAAAGTTTTGCGCAGTGCTGTGAGTTAGGAACCCGTAGTGAAGCCCGTTCTTTAACAGAACGGCCGAGAAATGGCTTGAAATGCAAGTTAATGATTTTTTTTGGTCGTTGCCCCGGCAGCAGAAGGCCTCCGCGAAACTAGGTCATTAATCCATCTCTGATTCGTGTTTGGCAGAAAAGCCTGTGCAAACAACTAATATTCAAGGTTCGGTGTGCTGCAGAAGCCTTTATTTTGCAAGTTAATTGTTTGCCAGAACATGTCGGGCTCAAGGAAATCATTGATTTTACACTGCCATATAGGGTCCAGGTCCCAGGCCCTGTAGAAAAAATAAATTTGCAAAGTATCTGTTTGCAGGGGGGTTGAGGTTCGATTGCCCTGCAAGTTGATTGTTTCTTTGCTGCAACCTTCAGGAGCTCCTCGTCTGCAACAATTAATTATGTTTTAATGGATATAATCGGAAAACTTGCGAAATCACTGCCTTCCGCATGTTGGTTAGTTGCCAGCCCGGAGTTCATGGATGGCTGCAGCCAATGCATTGAAATGCCAATGTATTGAATTGAAACCAGTTGTATTCGGACAGAGACAGCGGCATGACATCTTTGCAACGAGACGAAGCGCAAGCGACGTTGTCACTCAGATGTCAGAGGTTTCGGTAAAACTCATTGGCAACTGTTTGTGAGAAGCTGACCGACTCGGTTCGGGTAGACGTTTGTGATGTCCGTGCCACTGGCGACCCACAGCGCAGCATTATTCGCATGGCTCGAGCCGGAAAGAAACGGATTAAAATCATTGCTTGCCATGCGCTTTGGAACGACATTTGTTTCCATGCCGACCGCACAGCAAACAAGAATAAAACATCCAACCAACCCGCAAAGCCTAAAGCTTGAAGCTGTGCATACCCTGTTGCAGAAGACCAAATCGTACAATATTCATTGCATGTTCGTTTGATGTCTGTGAAGCCAGAGCTTTTGAAACAGATCCGAGCAGCAGTGGTCTTCAGCCCAGATTGTTGGAACGAGCGGTGGCCAAAAAGCCTTGAGCATGCATCACGAGATTTGTGACAGCAAGGAGCATGACGCAGAGAGAGATGAGATTCCTGTGGAAACGACCACAGAGGCGGAATGTGATGCAGTCGCACCATTGTGTGCGTCACTTCAGTGGCTTCTTCTTCACTCATAGCGTGTGACGGAAACGTTGCAGGACCCTGGGGACGGAGCCGCCATGTCTGCAGCATCTATATCCAGGATCAGCAGTGCCATACACCCACGATGAGAAATGTTCAACGAGCATGCACCTTCAGTACTCCGCATGAAAGTCCTTCACTTCGCTGCTGCATTCCTGCATTCGCAACTCCCGCTGGTAATCAGCATTGTATTGCAAGCGGAGGTAAAATATCACTGCACGGTTTTTGCTGGTGGCACTGTCAGGAACAAAGTTTGCCGCAATGTAGAGATTGGGCATCATGATGCCACGAAAGAATGGCACAAAGCGGAGGCAATGGACAGATGCCTTGTATCTGCTTCATGATCTTCAAGAGTTTGGCTTTGAAGGCTGCTCTGTCGACTGCTTTGCGATCCAAAGTGGAAACGGAGGAACGGCTAAGATCGTGGTAGCTTTGATCCTCAGTTGCTTTTGTCAAAAAATCGTCGGAGGCTGAGGATGCTGAAATGGCTCTTTATGTGCAGCGTGTGCAGAAGAGCGTCGACAATCTGTTGCCACATTCGCCATCGGCCGGTTTCTCGGGCACGGCTACTTAGCTTTATTCTTGAGTCCGCATGCCGAAAGCGGTCCAAAGCATGGCCTCTGCTGCATTTGTCAGGATTCACAGGAACGAAGTGGCCACATCGCAGAAAAGGGCACATCTGCCTTCTTGGAGCGGGCGCGGCTGATGCGATGCCGTGCCAGTGACGCCGGCAAGAAGCTGAAGGACCACGCCAAGCGAAGACTGCAAGGACCCGAGTGTGATTTCAGCACGCTAGTCATGCACAAGAACACAGCACCCACGACGGGTTTTGTTGCCGTCCGCTTGTTTTGAATGTTTGTGCTGAGGCGAATCAAGATTACAGACATCTTCAAAGAGGTTGGCAGGAGACAGTCTTTGAGGCGCAAGGGCAGCATTAGCCCTGATTGGTAGGCATCTTGGACAATCCTGCGTCCAGGCAGAGTCAGGAGAAAGTCCGGAAGTTCCGGGAAGACCTGCACCAGCGTGGATTTGGTCCGAATGCCTCCACCGGCGATGCGGATTTCTTTGCTCTTGGAATCGGTGCAACGACCGACAGCTACGAAGATGATGCAACTCCGCGGCGGCGATGCCTTCTGGAATCGCTTTCGCTGGAGGTCTGCCATGCAGTCACGCTCTCTGGCGTCTATGTCCCAGGGCGGGGGGTCTTGAAGAATTTTGCGGTTTCAGGAGCTGGCGATGGTGCGTGCCAATCCGCGATGGTATATCGAGGCGTCTTTGCAAGATGGCGAGGACTTGGGTCTGATCCCTCCGTGTTCATTGATACTCCAGATCAGTAGATCAGTTGCGAGGACGAGAACGTTCACGCGAATCGAGAAAGGCTCATCGATTTCTTCACACCCGCCCGGAAGGTCTGCATGTCGAGGCTCGCAGAAAGTGGTGTGGCTAAGCGTTCTGAGAGGACAGGCATGTGTCCATCGAGTGCTATTCCCAGCGCCTCTGGTCTCGGCTTGCCGCAGCGTCTGAGGCGATACAGGACCGAAACTCCAAGCTGACAGTGTGACACAGTCGCACTCTCCATTCCGGTCGCATCCGAACGAAGGAGAGCCAAGACAGCGGGAGGGCCTCCGACCGCCTCCGGTCGCTCTTCGGGCCTGGGGGCCCCGGCCCAGGCCCGGCACTGCACTGCACTGCACTGCACTGCAGCTCCTCCGTTTTGTCGGCGTTTGGTGCGTTTTTGGTGCGTTTTCGGTGCGTCACTGCACTGACAGGACTCAGCGGCTCTCGGATGACATCTCAAGGCAGTCTGCTCGAGCTCGCACGCTTCTGCTGAGCTTGTGCTGGGAACAGGATTGAGTCCCCAGCCGAGCACGATGCAGTCTGTGGCCGACTCACAGATGCTTGGGGAAATCAGTCCTTCGACACAGTCTTAGTCTTCGAAACTTGAAGCATTCCAGCCAAGGATGTTCTCTTCGCTGTCAGCAGGATCTTTGCCTAGACGGGAGCCCATCAGAGCTGACCAACCTTCTCCAACTATGGAGAAAGTATGGGAACGACATCGTCGCAAAGAGGCATCCCCGAAAAGATGTAAATCACCTTGTTCATGTGGCATGGGTTTTCTTTCGAGGTCATGCTGCAACCGGAGTGTGGTTGGTTTAGGTGACAAGCAGATCCTCGTTACGACGCTGTTTCAGAGAGAAAAGTATTAAAGGCAATGGATGTATGTCCCGCTGCACTCCCCACACATTCATCATCAGACTCCGAAGTAGTATTGGGTTGTTAGGTTGCATCATGCCGCGGTGCGCATGTGATTGCTATCGCAATGCAGAAGAGCAGTCACGGCGACCCGATCTCTGCACGAGCCAAAGCCAAGGCACGAGATACCCAGATGCTCGAGGATCGACGTCTCGCAGCAGAAGAGCGTCTGGCCAAGAATGCCTTCAAGGCGCATTGCCATGGTTCCGTGAATGCTTTGTAAGATGAGCATCCACACAGACGCCTGCCAGGTGAGCCAGCAGCTTAGCGAGTACGACTCTTCGCAGTCCAAGTACAAGGAAGAATCGCAGCTGTCAAGACAGTTTGGCCAGACTCAAAAACTGAAGCTGCAGGAGCTGCACAAGCTTCGAATGTCTGATGCCTTGGATCGCAAGGCAGCCCTAGATGCCGAGAATCAGGACGCGCAAGTGCTTTTTGATTCTGTGCTCGTCTCATTCAGATTTGTTAGATGAGGTTCTTCATCGCTCCCTTGTGTATGACTCGGCTACAAGGAGAGACTTGCAGTGATGGATGAGTTCAAGCTGCGTAAGATCAGGCGCTCTTATGTGTATCTGCAATATCGTGATGATTTGGCGGAATGCATGACAAGGCATGCTTTGGATGTTGCGGATGAGCAGTTGGAGCGCAAAAGGGACAAAGTCTCGGAAGGTTTGGAGGCACCCGACTTCTGAACGGTTGACCTGTTACCAGTTGGTGAATGTGTTTGGCATTGTGTAGGCTTGGCAGTCAGCGGTGCGGCGTGCCCGGCGCTACCAGCACGTGCAGGATACTGTGGTGAGCCGCAGTCAATTCGGCATTTCTCTGATACTTTAGCAACTTGAGAATTTGTTCATGTTTGCTCCCTCGTGATTTGGATTTCGATGCAGAGGTTCGCCAGAAGCCTGATCCGGGAGCTGTTGTAGCAAGAGCAGAAGCAGCAACAACAGACGAGTAACCCCAGCAAAATTGACGTGGGCAATTTTCAGGCGGAACCGTGCAAACAGTCCGACAAGTGGCACGAGCTTTGCTGACAGATTTCGCCTGCCACAGCTTCTCAGCGTCTGCTTCGTTCGTTGTAGGAAGGATCCCATAATTATGTCATATGGTATACACATTGCTATTGGTTTCTAGCCCACATTTCCGCATACCTGCGCCCTGCAGACAGGATCAAACTTTGACATGCAGAGGGTCTCGGTAGAAGTCCTCAGGAGCGAAAGGCTTTGGCGAAGCTGCAAGCGAACCAGGAAGCCTACAACGCAAGGCTTGCGAAGGCCACGTGCCGTGTGCCGCACAGTGCTCTGTGCCATGCCATGCCATGCCCCCAAGCACCCATGCCCCCAAGCACATGCCATCGGTCTGAGCTTACGCCGCTATTGAGAAGTTTGGTTTCTCGAAGCGCTGTCGGCTGTGCTCTTTGTGGAGAGGTCGGTGAGACCCGGAGCGAAAAGACGGAGTCTCAAGCTCAAAAGAATGACAAGCTCAAAGCAAGGACAAGCAGGGACCTTTCTGGTTTGGTGTGCTTTGGAATGGCTTTGCAGACCTGGCAGGATCCAAGTGTCCCTGATGCAGCAGCTAGATGAGCAGAGGACATCCGATGGGCTCTGGCTAGGGCATGGGTTGAACGCCAAGATCATGCAACACGAGTGGTGGCACATATCATGGAACAACAGCTGTCCCTGCTTGACAGCGCAGCAGAGGAAGCTTGAGTGCGATCGCATCTTAATTGTCGCTGCCCCATCGGTGTTGGAGCTTTTGTTATGCGGGAGCTTTGCACGTTCTGGGAAAGTCTCCGAGGCTTCGGAGCAGAAGGTGGAAGCAGCCAGATACCGGCGCTATCACAGCCAAAGCGCGCCCTGCATATCTCCTCGCTGTGTGACAGCTCGCGTCAACCCGTTTGCTTCCGATTCGTGATCTGTGGCAGATAAATACAACTTTCTCGAGCGTGCATTCGGGGAGCAGGCGCGCGGCTGCCTGGGTGACAGACGTGTAAAGCTGTCAGTCTACAATGCAACTCTTCCATTCCTGAGTCGGGTATCTTCAAACAAAGTTGCTGTTGCCTTCTTCTGCAGTTTGGGCTCCTCACAGCTCCACCCCACAGGCTTCGTGGATGTAATGTTCCAAAGTTCATGTCGCTGTGTTCCGGCCCATCCCCTTCCGGAGTCAGGATCGTTGATCCCAGTTAGTTGTGTTTCAGTTGCAACACCAGCGTGGGGCAGAATCGGCGACGACAAGAATCTACAAGACTGATCACCATGCCATGAGGTTCCGGGCATTGCATGCTAGAGGCCGACTGCTCCGTTTTCAGGTGAAGTTCGACCACAAGTATGCGTTTACGCCCTCTCGGAAGGCCTCCGTTTTCACACTTGGCAATCCGTTCACCAGGTGTCGCAAGGTTGCAGTGCAAGGTAACAAGGGTGAAGGCTTGTTTGCTTTAGCCATCCTCAGGGTCGGCACAACACCTCTTCCGAAAGCTTGTGAGTGGGGACAAGCTTGAAATTTCGGCGTCGTAGAGTCCATGTTTTCAATGTCTCACTATTGTCAAGTCTCACTCCATTCCGTGCCGGTTTATTGTGGAACGTGCAGACTATAACGATGATGTGTTACCATCCCGGTAGCGATTTTTGCATTCGCATGGTATAACTAGTTCGTTACCGCGGTGAGAGGCCCTTCAGCCAAGCTGATGTGGTGACGGCAAAAGCGATGCAGCAGCAGTCGAGCATGCTGTGCCCGATATGACTTGTCAGTAGATGCTCATGCAGCAATCTGCTTGTGTAGACTATGTAATAGAGAGCCTGTTGTCTGCGTGAATTGTGTTTCCACATGGCATGGCTACACTATAGTCATGGACGATTTCTCACACTTCCTTTCCGTAGCCATTTGAGGGTCATGCGAGCAGCCATGTCATGTGGAGGGAAAAGGCCCGCCACTGAACACTTCAAGCTATAACCGTAACAAGTTGTAGCTCAAATGAAGACGAGCAAGACCACTTCCGGTTTCACTGTGCATTGATGCCTGCGGAGTGGTTGAGTGGGCATTTGGACAGGAAGCATGTCGGCTGCAGCCTTGGTGACACGTAGACGGTTCTGAACCCACTCGACGTCAGATGTACGACTGCTGCTACAGCCTGCAGCTGCCGTCTGCTGCTGCAATCTCTTGGTGTGCAGCCCTTGACGGAGGAAGCTTTACTTAAGTGCAAGAAGGTGCATATGATCAGAAACAACTTTCATACATGAGACACTCGCGAAATTGAATCTTCTCAGAAGCGTGCACGGTTTCAATGACTCGACAAGAAGTGGCGGTGCCTGCCCTTTTAATTTTTCCGCAAACTAGCTGCTGTAGCAGCGTGCCTGCATGCTTCAAGTGACCAAAGCGTTTTTTTAAAGCCCAAGATCCTGAAACGTCGCACCGCTTTCAAAGTCAATTGCGTTAGCCTGCATGGCCACGCTCCAGATGTTGTGCAGCCAGATCGGCATGCGACATGCAAGCGCGAGACAAGCCCATGTGAGCAAGCGGTCTTGCGGGTGTGCCAGCATTCCTTCTGGGTTGTTGGATTTTTGGAGTTTTTTTGGCAGAGATTCATCACCATCATCACCTGAGGCAGAGATGAGAGCAATTACCCCGGCTCCGTTGAGGGACAGAATGAGCTGCTCCAGTTCCTGAAGGCCTTTGACTCGACTATCGAGTTCGTCGAGTACTCTGTGTGTCGTCTGGGTGACAAGTAATCTGTTGCAGGCCATTCGTCCAGAATGGTCTTTCCCGAAGAAGAATGGAAAAAGCAACGTTAGGAGTGCCGCAGCAGCATTAAAGAGTCGGCCATGTAGCCTCACGGCCCGTCACTGCTGGGGCGTTGGCAGTTTCCCGCCGAATAACTGCAAAGTTTGTATACCCCATGCCTGCTGCTGGATGGGTGCAGGTGTGATGGACAAGTTGAAGGCAGTTGGCCCACACCTGAGCCCGCAAGAGGCAACAAACTGTCATTGAGCCAGCAAAGAGCTTTTGTGAGCACCACGGCTCACGTCGACATCTCAGGTGTGACGAGCGTATGGGAGCTCTTTAGGGCGGTGATGCGGAACACCATCAACGAGAACTTGGCCCAAGCTGGGCCAGGATCTCGCGATCTGCATGCGCAAAGGTGGGGCTAGTTTAAAGTGTCGTCTCCGTCCACGAATCGCACTCTCTGAGGTACTCCGTGTTGAGTAAGGAAACACTTGACCGGATTCGGAAGAGGATGAGCTTCTTCCGGCAGCCTCTTGGACGCATACGGAGACTGCTACTAACCGCACAGTGCCACATTGCTGGAAACTCGGCTTCAGGCTGGATGTCCTAACGGAAACGGACTGCCGCCAGACCGGTGCCTTCGCGCCAGCGGCGCTGGCATGCGTCTCTTGGGGCTGAGGGGAGGCAGTGATAACACTAAGATCTTCGCAGCGAGGACCCCGCTAGGACTGCCTGACTAGTGTTCACCGACATGACTGTCAAGGTCAGGGTAAGCTGTGACATTCGTACCCTGATGCTGCTTAAGTCGGTTTGTTTGGCAAGGGAATCGCGGTCGACTCATTGCCAGGTGCCCCAGCTCCTCTCACAGAAGAAGCTGGCCTACTGGAGTGGCCATCTTATTCCACTCTGTGTGGCAACTGGCTGTTTGTTGCGTGCTTGCCATTTCTGTACCGTTCGCAGCAAGAGGTAAAGTGGCTCCTTCACAGATTCATGATGGCAAAAAGCTGGACGACAGGCACGGCACAGCTTTCAAGCTGGGGCAAGGGAACGGTGCATGTTGAGCTGACTTTCGGAAACGGAGGTCATTGTCTCCAGAGTCTCCTGGCTGCGTTTCGCAACAGCTTCACTCCTTCTTGTAGCAGGTCACGTAAAGCGCTGCCCTCGTGCCGTTGTGGCAGTTATGTTTGCTTGCTATCGACTTGTGGGAGCTGCTCGAAGAAGGTCTTCAATGCCGTAGCCATTTGAGTTCAGTGAGAAGTGAACATGTCTGATCATGTCTGGTTCGACTCAAGGATTGGGGATTCCTCAGGAGAGCCAGGCGGTGCACGAGCTGATGACAATGACAGTCCAAGAAGTGGCCAGGAGCGGATGTGATGTGAACAAAGCAGAATCCTTGCTCGGTTCTTTGCAGTCTTATGCTAAGGCACGATCGGAACACAAGCAAAACACGGCGATACAGCACAACTCCGAGATCATCAAGCAACAGCTCGGCACCATCGAGGAGCTGAACAAGCAGATCGAGGAACTGCGGATGCAGAAGGCGCATGAAGAGAAGCACCGGCACGTAGAGAAGAACATGCAAGCGAAGCGGAAAGCCACAGACCAACATGATGATAAGGAAAAAACGGTGGCCGGAACCAGCAAATACAAGAGGAGAGGCAGGTACAAGAGGAGAAGGAGGTACAGGAGGAGAAGGAGGACAATCCGAGCGCCGGCAATCCGAGTGCCAGACGCCGTCGACCAAGGCGCATGAGCATCTGCGACCAGGCCGAATCCTTCGACATTATAAGTCTTGTGCGTGGACGGTGTGGTTGTTGAACAATATCATCTCCAAGGTTGTGGCTGGAAAATCCGCAAACATGCGGCACTCGTACTTCGAGCCTTTGCCTTGCTCAGCGGATATGGATTACATTGCAAGGGTCTTGTCAGGTATCCGCTCCGCGCCGGAAGAGCAGCAAGATGCTGAGTGTGGCCGAATACAATTGTTTTAAGTGTCTTCGAAGAGAGCCCTTTGACGAAGTCGTCCTTGCTCATGGCCATGGTCTCCGTAAAGAGACAGGTCAGGAAGGGTCTCGGCGCCGCTCAACCCTTCCTCACCTCTCTCTTTACGGAGACCATGGCCATGTGCAAGTCACTGTGCACGGACGACTTCGTCAGCGAGCTCTCTTCGCAAACATTTAAATCACCCCCTACCACCCTCCTTCCCTCCCTTCTTCCCTGCCACACCCTTCCCCCTTGCCCTCTGCCTTGGCCCTTTCCACCGCCTCCCGCCCCCGGCCACCCTGGCTCTCCTTTTCCCTCTGCTTCTCCCACCCCTTGCCTCCCCGCCGCCCAGTACCCTTCATATCACGTTTTTTTTTCATGGCATTATCACTTTCTTATCACCTTATCACCTTTTTATCACCTTCTTATCACCTTATCACCTTTTTATCACCTTTATCACCTTTTTATCACCTCTATCACCTTCTTATCACCTTTATCACATGTCTTATCGCCTCACTTATCACTTTTTTATCACCTTTATCACCGTCTTCGCACCTCTACGACATTTGGACTGTATACTTATCATCTTTGCTATGTGTTTATTGCCTTCGTCTCACCCTTACAGCTATCTTTTGTTATGAGAATACATTGTATATTTATCTTCGTGTCCCTAGACAACCGGACAGGAGCATCTTCGCCTTGGTTTTGTTCTCTACCAGACCGCGCTTGCATGATTGGCATGGCTTTCCACTGCACATGTTTCAATCTAGACTAAGACATGTTCCGTTGCTGTGCGCACTACACATTGGTAGCTGAGCGAATCTCGACCGAAGCCATCCCATATCCTCTCTCGTCATCCTCCGCCCGAATATCCTACTTGTGCGACCATGGGCAAGAGCCGCAATCCGGAGGTCGTCAAGCGAACCCTTCGTATCCAGCGGGCTATCCTTCGGAAGAAAACCGCCACCCTCGCGGATATCTTCAACAAGAGACGCCCACAGTGCAAGACGGCCAAAGCCACGGTACGGAGGCTCGAAGCAGAGATTAAAGAGCTGGGAGGGGAGCTGTCAGATGAAGTTTCGTCCTACGACGCGCTCCTCGGCGAAACTTCGTCCGAGGGCGAAACTTCATCCGACAGTTCCAGCTCTAGCGAAGACGCCGAGTGTTTTCGGCGACACACAGCATCCCGAGGACTACCCGGACGACAACACGACCGATGTCGAGACCGACTAAGGTTGTCTTGTACAGACCGCAATCCGCGTGCTCCAATTGTGCTGTCACTACTCAGCTTTACAAGGGAAGCCATAAAGAACCGTTGCAACTGCATGCTGTGTTTACGTCTTCAACTCTGTGTCAGGATCACGTCTTTCTCCCTGAGTAGGAAACTTACGAGCTTTTTCAATGGAAGCCAGTGTGCTTGCAGATGCTTGCAGCTTCACGAAGAACATTGCTTGTAGTTCCCTAAGCCTCTTTTCTGTTTCCCCGTCTGTGATGGCTGAGGGGCAGAGCACGCTCTTCTCATCGGCGATGCGTGGCTGCAGAGAACCTGCCTGGCGCGCGATAAGACCAGCATGAAAATGGGAAGGGCATTGTCGCACCTTTCCCCGAGGATTCAGACCAGTGGCTGACCCAACCAACTCCATTGGCCCAACCAGCATTCCCTTGTCGGGCTTCACAGCCGGTTGCCCGGACACAGAGTGTGGACGAATTAGGACCGCAAACCTGGAGTTGAGGCCTCCTTCTCTTCTCCCAGCCTGGAGTCAACTCATGAGGCCGGATCCCGGAGATGGAGAACTTTCGCGTTTCATCTCAATGTCAGGGCTGGGCCGTGGAAGACCTGGAAATGGAACGGCCAAAGCTGCGAGGGATCAGGAGGGCCGACAGGGTGCTCCGGGTCGGGTTCCATATGCCGCCTGGGTTTCGTCAAGAACTTCCTCGCCTCGACCCCGAGCTCCACTAATACCCAGTAGCTCTCATCCCTGGTTTGTTTTTTCGGGGGTACAGACTGCGGCCGTGGGCCGCTGCTTCAGAACATGTCCAGGACGCCGCTACACGCGGGCCGATCAGCGCCGCAAAGCAGAGAGGGAGTCGGAGTCGAGATTTTCAGGGGGAGAAGGACCACGGCCTTTGCAGCCGTGTGCGCAAGACTTTCGCAGAACTTGGTGCGTGCTGACCCAGTCCTTGCCTTTACTCGGAGCTGCGATTTGTTTGTGGCATCATCAGGGCATCCACTGACGGCGACGTGGAAACCCAGGAAAGCTTCCGAAACAGCTTGCTGGCTCTTCGCTCGTTCTTCCTGTGCACCTGTAATTCAGGAGCCTGAGCGATGGGCTTTGAAGTCCTCGCTTCGGCCAGCTGCCAAGACTTGGCAGGCTCGGGGAACGTTTCGACGCACTTGTTGCACAGCTAAACACACGCCATCGTGTCTCGCGATGTGAGGCCGGCGATCCGAAATTCGCTGAAGTTGAGAAGTGTAAACCTTACAGCCCGGCCGCTTCGAGACACTGACACTTAAGGACAAATCTTCGTGTTCATATCTTTTGAACATCAGCTGCAGGCCTCCCAGAATTGGCTTGATTCGCCAAGCCAGCCAGATGTCCACTCCAGGTTGCTTCGCGTTGCACTTTCGCTAGCAGCCGGTTGGTGTTGCGTTTCCACATCGCAGGGGAAGATCAATCGACAGCATCACTCCTGATGCAGTCTCCCCCTGATATGACTGGCTGTGCTTCAATTGTCTGCGTTTCAGAGAGCATTCCGATCGTGGAAACCGCAGAGCCGTGCAAAGCACAGACTTTGCAGGAGTCGTCTGCGAATGGGCAGTGGCGGTGAGCTCAAGTGCGAAGTGCACAGCTGAAGCGAGGGTACAGCTTTCGCTGAGGACAAAGCGGCGGCAGTGTGATGATTGTGACCACTCCCGTCAACCGTCCAAGGCTCAGGATTCTTGAGAGCCAAACTTCATGTGGCTGCCACGCGCATGTTCCAGGAACGAACAGTGTTTCCATGGTCCACAGCTCAGAAGAAGTTAACAATCCGTTTGGCCTGTTGGTAATGTTGGGAACTTGCTCCGTACATGCAGACAAGAGATGAAACAACCAGCACCAGACAGACCCAGTTCGAACATGTTGAGAGATGGAGAGACTTGCACGGCAATCCTGGCTCGAAGGATCGATCCAGCAGCTGCCAGCACTCCCAGGCACAATCCGATGCGGATTTCATCGCTTTGCGCCACCAGCCGACACGCAGGATCCTGACACTCTTCTATCGGCTGTGGAGAGACTTCATCAGGCCGTGCCATTAGCCGACCAATTTCCTCCAGACCGCAATGGAAATCTCTTGGAGGAGGCCGTGGCTATGCAGGACTTCCGTCCACCCAGCTGGTCGGTACTTCGCCGTCATCCAGATTCTCTCATCGAGAATGGCCAGGTGGGTGGAGTCCTCGTTTTGCAGCAGACAGCACCGCGAAGCGGTCAGGCCATGCTCGAGGAGCAAGAGGCCCTGCATGAGAGGCGCGGATGCCTGGTTCCTGAATGCAGACGTTGCATCTTACATGAGAAAACATGTCCCGAAGACCCCAATCCCCAGTGCAAGGAGCGAAAAAAAAGGCATGACGCAATCGTACTCTTTGTGAGAGTGCTGTCTAGGTCCAAGCTGTACAAGCTGATGCAGCAAGAAGGCGGCTGCCCGACATTCACGTAAAGAAACAGCGGATGCAGTAGCACTCACTGACCGTCGGGCGATGAGGCCTTTACTCACCGATGCGTCATCACGTTGCTGAAAACGTTCGCTCCCGACTTAAGGAGGACTGTGTTGCTGACAACACGAGGCCGGTGAGCAGTACTTGATGCTCTGCCCAATGGCAGGAGAGTGACAAGGTGGCTGCTGAGGGGCTGGAGATGCAGCACAAATGTACAAATATCCGGCCCACGCCTCAGCTGAATTCGGGGTGCCAGCTGCCTGAAGATGCTGCTCGAACGGATCTGCAACTTTTTTTACCCACATACCCAGTGCTTGCAAGAAGACTGCAAGGAAGAATCTTGGTCAGATGATGAATGCGAGGCACGATTGTCCATGGGCATCTTGCACGAGATTTCCTCACAACGCCGCCAGAGTCAGTAGGCCACTGGTTTTGCAGGAGAGACCTTGCTTCTCTGCGGCGTGCCATTGTTGGCAGAAACATCGATCCAGTCCATGCCTGAGCGCTCTGGGCCAATCCTTCTCTGGTGTCATTGCGCGGAATGTGCCGTGGAGCCGCGCCAGGATGAGCAGCTGAAATCCGGCTTGCTGTTGATGGGTTGACGCGCAGAGCCGAATTTGGAAGAGACTTTGGGCATCTAATTCGTTCTTTAAAGCCCATGCGTTGTTATCGGAAAAGATGCATTATGTATTTTCACAGCTGACCGCCTGTGTCGGGCAATGCCTTCTGCCCAGCTACCTGTGCAGGGTGGTGCGGCAACAGGTGTTTTGAAGCTCTTAGCCCCACTGCAAACGGGATTGCCGGCACACGAGCAATGCTGTTTTCAAGAGTTTCAATTGTGTTGACACGGGCGGAAAAGCACGCATCGCTTCAGAAGCTTCATCAGCCAAAGGCTGGTCTGTTCGGTAGAGCACCAGGAGCGCCCGAAAGGATCTAGGAACTCGAGAGGGTGGTCGCGGAAGGGGCCAGACGTTCTGTCAAACCTGTAGCTGAAGCTAGACTTTTTTCGGGCTCCAATCCAGGTTGGGTCTCCCTTGAAGGGAAGCTCCAGCACTGTGACGGTTTTCGTTCAAAGACGTGCAGAGCTCCAGTCCCGAGTCATCGGGAGCCCAGATCCGGTGCATCACAAGAAGTGCATTGCCAGGGAGAGTCATCGGCAGCTCATCAGCTTCTTCATGTCTCGAAGATTCTTTGCCTTTGACCAGCCTCTCGCGGCTTCAGCTTGGCTTCACAGCACTGAGCCCTGGACCGACGCGTGAATATTCAGCAATGCAGAAGCACTGGGTTTCCATGCTTACAGCGAGCATGCTCTCGGGGCCGACCATAAAGCTGTCGCTTTTTACGCAAAGTGACTGTAGGCGTGAACTCATGACCAGAGGAAAGCATGTTGCTAGAGAGCAGACGACCCATGCGCAGCTCGGTGCATGACCTACATCAGGGACACTAAAGGACCAGTCTAGGCGTCCATTGAGATGCTTTCTTACATCAGATTACCGTCCCAGCGTCTCCAAACAGGCTTTAGGATGTCCTTAATGTGGCCTCGGCGGCCTCGTGTTTCCTTGGAACGCATTTTTAGGCCGAGGCATGCATCCTAGGCATTTGCCTTTGCCGACGTTTTCCAGGCCCGGTGGTAATAAGGTCTGAATTATTGAAGCTTCAGAAGTTGCTAGAAGGCTGACGCCCTACGCCCATAAGTTGGTGTGCCATACTGTTTGTAGCTTCGTCTATTCTCGTGGATTCCTTTGCTGCAGGGTGACCACCAATGAGGCGCACCAGTGCAGCCATGCAGATGCGCTTCGCTCATTCTTCCTTTTTTTGGGCTGTTGGATTGGCAGCTCTGCGAAATCGAGTACGATTTCGACGATGAGTCTGCACTTATGACCTTCATCCAGGCTCTGTGCAGCATGTCTCATCCAGGCACCACCGGCTTGTGCCATGGGATTGGTGCTTCGGAGAGGACATAGCAAATCCTGTGAATCCACATGGGAAGTGTTTCATCGCGGAGCTGGAGGCGAACGTTTTCTGCGTCTCCGCAGCCCCAGTTCGTCAAGACCGTCCATGTTGGGATAATCATGTGTTTCCTGTTGCAGGTCCCTTGGGTCGACATCAGCTTCTATGCTAAGCAGCAGCTGTCACCCGGCATGTGATGCAGGATGCGATAGGCCGCAGCTGCAATTTCGCTGCAGAGGTTAAAGAAGCCTCCATTGGAGGAATGCGGCGTTGTGATTGATTGTGGGAGTGTGGAAAGATTCCTCATTCCAACAATCAGGCAGGAGAATCCGAGTGTATGATGCTGCTGATAATTCAAATTTCGTCAACAATTTTGCGGCACTGCGCAGGACAAGGACAGCTGGCAACGGCAGTGTGGCAGTTTCTCGACTTGATCAAACAACGGTTTGCATGGAAGGGAAAGTCCCTCATTCCTGGATGAGGTCAAATGTATTGACATTGCGACTCCCATCAGCCACGATGAGGACTCGTTTGATGGGGGAACAGTCTCTGCAGCGTGGTTCGCACGAGAAAGTGTTGATTTCATGGTGTGTCCGACTTGTGTTGAATCACAGATCTTCGCAGGGAGAAGCCTACGAGCGAGTCGGAATCCGGCTTCCTACTGGCGCCTTCACATATGCCTCTCGGTCGTCCTAGGAGTGCATGTGGCCAACTGCGAGTCTAGAGAACATCGGAGGCATTTTTCGAGTCGCAGTATCTGGCGCGGGCAGAGGCGAGGCCGGAGTAAGTTTGATGCCTAGCTATGCTGATCTGTGATGGAGGATCCACGCAGAGGCGCCCTCTTCCTTATCGATCCGAACATGATCCTGTGCCTGACTTGGAAATCAATTTAGGTCGCGGTGGTGGGTAACCGACGGCTGTCGGTGACAGCTGTAGGCAGAAGGTACTGCTGTGATGCTGTCTGTTGCGTCGTGCCACTCTCCAAGGTGTCAAAATGCACCTTGGCTGCCGCTCGCATCAGGCGACATGCACCAGCCCTCTCCCTCCTGCCCTAGGCGATGACAGAGGCGCAGAAGAAGGCGAGCGAGGGCAGACAACTGCGGTTCGGTGGTTCGAGCTTTCTCAGCTTGCCGTGAACTGCAGGATTTTCAGACCTACGGTGGCAAGAAAGTCCTGTACTTTGATGTTCTGGATGATCCCAACATCAAGGCTGCTCTCCATAAAACCTACTGGCAGAAGCAGCTAGCTGGCCGTGGGTTCGAAACAGGAGAGGAGAGCCGAAATCCAGAGATGTCGCGAAAAGGGCGACGAACAACGCAAAAGATATGAGGAGGCATCTGGACTGACTTGCTGCACGAGCCATGCATACCGACCGATCTTCTCACATGCAGAAAACTTTGGTGGTGAGGCCGATAGAAAGTGGGAAGAAGAGCGAGAGCAAAGACTCTTGCAGGCAAGGAAGTCGGTTCTCTTGCTTGGACCTCGCTTCGTATCGTCAAGAGATGTTTGCAAGAGCAATCCAGGGCAAGAGATAACAAGTTTAGATTAGTGGAGCGAGTACGGGTAAGACTGCGTTCAATCTAAGCCTTGGTCGTTTCTCATGCTTTCGAGGGCGGGAGTGGCCAGGCACAGCAGGAGGAGGCGAAGCCGAAGCTCAGCAAGAAGGAACCTTCGGTGCTCGCATTGTTTTCAGCTTCCTTGTGCAACTCTCAATCGCAGCGAAGGGCGGAGGCCTCATGGCACTTGTGGCCGCGCACCCTATAGATCCTAAACCCTAAAGGAAAAGAGGTGATAAAAAAATAGATCGGGAACCCCACAAGGACCCTAATTTGGACAACCACCCAGATTACAACTCAGGCTTCTCTAACCCTAAACCCCTTAACCTGATTAAGAGACTTTTGGTCTTTGTTATAGGGTTCTTTGTATGGATCCTCATATTTTGGTGTTGTGGGGCTATGCATCCGCAGTGTTACAGAATCTGTGCACCATGCTAATCAGGAATACAAGTCAACTCTGAAGAGCCTTTGTAACATTTGCAACCAACAGTCTGTCTGGCAATTTTCAGCACCGACCTTCGGGGACCCGCCGTTTTTTTTCTGGACGGGAGTGGAGAGCAAAGGCTCTGGGGCTTGCGCAGAACGCAAGGGTCGAGTGCGAAGCTGGCAGCGAAAGTTTGCAAGAAGCAGAGAAAAGGAGTCAAACAGTCAAACAAAGCAGCATGCGGAATTCAGGGGTTGACTGGAAAAAAGCAGAACAGTACTAAGGACGACCAGCCTCTCAAAGAAAGAACAAGTACAGCAGAATGGCCACGGAATATCACACACACACACATGGCGTGAGAAACGACATTGCCAGACACAGGAAGCATGAGAAAGCATGATGGTTCCAGCACGCCACGATGTCACATCCAATTCATCGTTTCTTTCCACAGGCGAAGCAGAAGGCTCGACAAGCACTGAAGAAAGGCATAAAGCCTGGGATAGAGGAGCAGAAGGACGGACTCTGACTCAGCAGCGAGTCTTTGCACAGGTCCGGTACGCAGTGCAGTCAGGAAACGGTTGTAGACAAAGCCGACGACGAAGCAAACGAAGAGGAAGACTCCGAGCAGGACATCGGACGCACAGCAAGGCGCATCCTTTTGTGTCGCAGCTCCGAAAGGAGCGGCTCCACAAGCAGCGCCAAGCGGAGCGGCGCGCCAAGATAGAGGAGGCCAAACGAGAACTTCCGAACGGGTGCGGATGGCTTTTTTGCTCTTCTTCTCTCAGGACCTAAAGCAAGAGAAGGAACAAGATTCGCAACGAAAAAAGTTGGAAATGGCTGAGGCCAGATCTCCAGCTCGTCGATTTGAGTTGGATTCTGCGTCCCACCTCTGCGGGAACGCAGAAGAGTAGGCTAGTACCAGTAGATGTTGTCATACTCGATTTTTCACTGGCTTGGGTACTGTCGTGGCATGGGGTCCACAGGTGCCTGTGATATGTTTGATAGGAATGTTCTCTATGACAATATCCCACGAAGCGTATGTGAATCTGCGATTGGGCTTAAGCTTTTGGGGTAGAGGGTTCATGGGCCCTTGGTTGACCAGTGCTGCATTCAGCGCGGGCGAGTTCTTTCGAACCTGGGTTCAGGGGCCCTGTTCTCCGTGCCCTTGGGCCGTGCTCTTGCTGCTCGAAATCGTGATTTTCTGCTGCGGTTTCGGCCTCGGAGCTATTTCTTCGGCCTTGGTGGCCTCGCCGCTTTGCAGGCGAGCCTCCTTCGGATTCCTGCGGACACTAATTGCCGGCTTCGCTCAGCCTGTCTATTCTCCCGGTCCTCCCGACAGTGCGAGGCGGCGACTCGGGGAATATCGGCTGCGCGGTGAATGAGTGATCGCTCTCTCGAAACTTCCGTTGAAGAGGTCATCCTGCGCCTTAGCGGCTTGGAAATCACTGTCAGGCGCACTGAGCCTGGGCCTGATTTCGGGTTCGAGGTAGTCAACCAGGAGCCCGCGGGGCTCTCTTCATCTTCTTCGTCTTCGAGACCCCCTGTGGAGCAGAGGTCTTCGACAGCGCGAGTCCTTGAGGCTGTTACGGCCACCGAGCTTGCTGCACTTGAGCTCCCGGAGTTGGAGCACCTCGCCCGGAGCCTCCGGGATACCGGGTCGACTTGGACCCCCCGAGCTCGGCTTGCTCGGGCTTACCGTTCTGGAGTATCAGCTGGACAGAAACTTCGGGGCGAGGTGAGGTACACTGAGAGCTCGCCTGCGTTGGGTCTTCGACCTTGCATCTACGTGGCCATTCGGTCGGTTCATCATTCCGAGGGGTTTTGGACAAGATCTTACAGTGCCTTCCGGCGCGAGACTCAGGATTCTACCGGATCCTTTTACAGAGAGGTCATCAGCCATTCGTTTCCTAGCCGAGCCGAAGCCGACGCTTACATCATCGGCGCTGGGGTGAGATGGCCGACGACCGAGCTTTAAGACAATGCTCAAGGGCGGACATCGAGGCTGCGCAGGGCGGGGTCTTGCCTGGTCGCCCGCTGCCTATGCTGTTCCTGCTATTAGGTCGCGGGGAGGAGGCCGCGGCCCGCTCTCGGCTTGCACAGGCAGTGCTGCTGAAGACTCGCGAGAACGGCTTCCTGGTGGCCCTTCCTACTCCGGACATCGTGGTGCAGTACATCGAGGCCCTGCTTGGCGAGGACGGCGAGGAGCTGGTTCTCTCCCTTCGAACCTCGGCGGAGTTCGAGACCAGCCGCGGGCGTGCTCTAGGCACGCTCGATGTGTTGCTCGCGGATTTCCCATGGGCAGGGACGGAGCACTTTACTCGAGCCCGATCGCTTCGGGGCGCTGCCTCACGGGAGCTCGAGCTCTTTGCTTTTACCTCCGGCGGCGTGAATGCAAGGCCCGTTCCGGCAAGTCTTCTTCGTGCCGCCGAGGACTGGATTCGCACCGAGATGGACCTCGAGACCGCTGCCGAGTACCACACCGGCGAGGAGGAGGAGGAGGAGGAGCTCACTGGCCAGGCCGTTGTGGACGACCGTCCCTCCCGAGAGGAGTATGCCGCACTGCAGGCGAGACTGGAAGCCATAGAAGCGAGGAACCGGGAGCCGAGCAGACCGGAGACTGCACCAGCCGGCCCGCGCGCAGGGCGTCTTTTCGGTGCCGGTGCGGGCAACCTCGACGAAGCTGCCCTGGATCGTCTTCAACGCTTAGCCGGGCCGGTGCCTCGCCGTGTCAAGGGTCCCGAGGCGCAGCCTACGGCACAGGACGGACAATTTCGCGAAGCGGAGCTGGAGGGCCTTGCGGAGCCGGCGGCCGAGGACCCTTTTCAGGACTTAGCCGACTCCAACCCGCTCCACCAGATCCTAGTGGCGCAGCTGGCTCAGAACAAGATGCTTCTGGAACGGCTTGCCCCGCAGCGGGGATTGGATGCAGTGTCAGCAGCCCTCGGAAGCGGTGGGGCCAACGCAAGCGGCGACTCTACCGGGATCAAAGGCTGCATTGCCAGAGATGCCTTCCTGAAACAGGTCCAGGACCTGCCCCGAGTAGCCGAGATCGCTCGACAGAACGCTCTCCGGGAGCTAGGCCTCGACCCTGCGCGCGAGGAGCCGAACCTGATGAAGTTGTACCTCGAGCGTCGGGTCCCCTTGTCGGGCCACCGACTCCTGGCACACTTTGCGTACCTGGGCGCCTCGGCTTGGGAGGTGGGCCAGACGACGAGCAATCGGGATCTGCAAGGGTTTGCCGCTCGCCTCCTCATTTTCGCGGAACAAGCCGCGATCGACGGAGGCCGGCTTCAGCTCGGCTGGCTGATGTCGGGCTACGCCGAGCGCCTCCTCAGCTCTGGAGTGTTCAGCGGAGAAGCTCGTTGAAGCCATTCAGCTCCCCGGCGGATCCGGCCTGGGCGGCTGCAAACATAGCTTACTTACGCGATCTGGATTTTCTCGAGACGAAGATGAGCTCGATCAACAAGGATCGATCGAAGGAGCCCACAAAGAGGATGTTCCCCCAGAAGCCGGCGGTGCGGAGGCGGCGCAGAAGACTTGGCGAGAGAAGCGCAAGGCCAAGCCGAAAGCCGCGATGGACAGCGCCTGACAGAGAGCAGCAGTAGCCTTGCATGCGTTTCTGGTTCCGGTGACCGGCGGAATTCTACGTTTCGCCATCACAAGGGCCAATTCAACCGACCGGGTTCCTCACCTCTCGCAAGTAGTTTGGGGAACCCCGGCGCCTGCAAGCCGTTGCCTGATTTTGATCCGCTTAGCTCTCTAGCCCTGCGCCCCGCCGATTTAATTTATCGCATGCTTTCTGACCTCACGTGTACTCGTAGTGGTTTTGCATACTTTGTCAGGCTCTCCTTATCGAGCCCCACCTGTACCATGCAAGCTTCCTTTGGGAGCTCTTTGTGGCCAATCCCGCCTCCTAGGTGTTGTTGTTTTGGCTCATCTCGCAGCACCAGAGCTCGCAGGCGTCGACGCCATTTCAAGACGCGGTGCAAACTGCTTCGGGTATTGGTCGCCTCAATTGGAAGACTCTTGGTCATCCCCTTGTCCCACCTCGTGGTGCTAGAGCAGGTGACCCGATTTCTCCTCAACAGCATGTCATCCTGGATCGGCTTGAGCAGTTTGCTGACCGCTTGCTTGTCACTCCGAGTTTCCAGCCAGAGTCGCTGGGCCGCTGCGGGCCTAAATTTGCTTGCTTCGCTCGGGTTGCTACGGAACTACCTGGGACTAGGGTTCTAGGTGTGGACCAGCTCCTGGAATTAGTGCCATCGTTGAAAGAGGGCCTCGACCCCTACACTGACCCCCGGTATGAGGCATCGCGGTCAGAACCAACTCAGAACGCAGCGGCTATGAACCGAATTGGCGCCGGAGCCGCGCCGGATCCTGTAGGCGGTGCTGGGGCTGACCTCCCAAGCCTGAGGTCCTTGGGGACCCTCCGCATCCAAGCGTCAAGGATTAACTGGAAGCATGCCCCCAGTTCTGACCCGACTCCTTTTCTCGACGATCCATTGATTGCTGCCGCTTACGATAACCCAGAAGTTATGCGAAAGCCGGGGTTGTTCGAGGAGGTCAGCCGGCCCGCTCTTGTGCACGCGGATCGCGCTGAACTCATTGCTCTAGCTTCGACTTCGACCTGGGATAAGTTCGGAGCGCTTTGCATATTCGGAGCGCAGGAGACGGCATCGCTGCCTGCCGACGAAGCAGTTGGTTTATTCTGTGTAGGAAAAGATGTCTCCCACGACAGATTGATCGTCAATCCAACGATTATCAATGGTAGGATGTTCAGTTCCAGCATTGCTTCTAAGTCCCTAAGCCCCGGTTGGTTGTTAGGGTCGCTGCACCTGCCGCCTGGCTACGGTTTTAGATTCCATGCTGCCGATTTATCCGATTTTTATCATAGCTTTAAAGTGTCTCGGTCTAGAGCTTTGAGAAACCGGATCAACATGAACTTTCGGGCCGAAGAGCTCGCGAGTCTGCAGGCCTACTCGCCGTGCTTGCAGGAGCCTTTGCAGATCGGGTTGAACACCCTAGCGATGGGTGATAGTCTGGCGGTTGAAGTCGCCCAAATGTCACATCGTGGTCTTCTCCGTAAACTTTGTGGGTCGATGTTGCCGAAAGAAAGCCTCGAATACCGAAAACCGGTTCCGAAAACAGATCATGTCGAAGCCTTGGCCATAGACGATCACATTAGTCTGCAGAGGCTTCCGTTGTCGGAGCTGAGCTCGGCACCACACGCGCGAGACGCACAGGTCTTCGCTTCAGCCAGCCAGGCGTACTCTTCAGTCGGCTTGCACCAGAATCGGAAAAAGGACCTAGGTCAAGCAGACCCGAGGTGTCCTGCTCGGAGCGGAGTTTGATGGTGTCGCTGGTTCGGTTTCAGCCCCGCGTGATCGAGTGCTTTGCCTAGGAGTAATCAGCACTTTCATCGCCAGGAAGGGCTTTGCTAGTGCTGAACTTCTTGATGCTGTTGTCGGGTGTTGGGTTCACGTCTTGCTTTTCAGGAGGCCCTTGTTCAGCATCATTGATAGTTTGTTTAAGGAGCCCCGACCCGAAAGCAGGACTCGAATCTTTCGCTTATCAGCTGCCAGCCGGAATGAGTTGTTGCTCTTGTCGGCGCTCGCTTGCACAGCCGTCTCAGATTTGCGAGCCGTCTATCATGAGGAGCTATTTTGCTTAGACGCCAGTCCTTGGGGCGGAGCCGTAGTTTCGTCTAAGATTGGGGCATCAGCGAGCTCAGAATTGTGGCGGCACGCCGAGCAGCGGGGTTACTACACTAAATTTGCGTCGCCCGCTGCCTGTGTTCTTCGCGAACTAGGAGTGCCCCACGCTAGCGAGGACCTCTACGGACCCGAACCGCTTATGCCTGAGCGCTCCAAGCCTCCCCCGCACAGGCCTGTCAGTTTGTGCCGACCTTTGCAAGAAGGGGTTCTGTACGACGTGCTTGAGATCGATCCCTGGGGGAGTAGCGACTTTAGTTCGGGGCTTTCTCGGTTTCCAGGGTTCGTCAGCGGGCCGACTGACAATGGCCGAGCCTCTGCCTCGTTTGACCTCGCTTGCGCTGCTACCGTGAGCTGGCTAGCCTTGGGACTCTTAGGCGGCCCCGTGCTAGGTCCCGTGCCTCCCCTTCGGGTTTAGGTCCTTGTGGTTTAGGCCCAGTAGACCCTTTCTCTGAGACCCAAACTCGTATCGCGAGGAACTGCGCCTTCATCCTCACGATCGCTGTTCTTGGAGGCCAGCTTGTTTCCGTTGAGCAGCCGGCCGGGTCTTGCCTTTTCCATTTGCACTGCTTCAAGGGTCTTGCTAGGCTTGGTTGCGTCCTTAGCCGGGTTTGCCATTGTTCTTTCGGTTCGCCTTTCCTTAAGCGCACCGTCTGGTTGCACAACAAGGCCTGGATTGCCGACCTCCAAGCTGAGTGCTCTTGCGCTTGGGCGGGCCGGCATTTCAGCGCGCGAGCGCGTGTTTTCACAGCAGCTTCTGCCGCCGACTTTTGCTCTCGGTGCGTGCCGGACTGTGCCAGTGTCTACGGCTCAGTTCCTGTGCGTGGGCAAAGCACAGAGGCTTTCTCGTCTCGCCACCCACTTGGTTTCGTCCGTCGGTTTGTTAGCGGTTCTCTGGCGGCTAAGTATGGGCATATCGGGTTTGTCGAGCAACGTCTCCGTGAAGCCACAGCGAGGTCACTGGACCTGCCTGCTCCGACGAGCTTTGATCTTGAGCCAGACGACCGCGAGCCTTTTCAAGATAGGGCTTGGCACGAGGACCCAGAATGGATTTCCGAAATTTGCCGAGCTTTGCATTTCAGACTTAAATTAGAGTATCACTTCGCCAAGCCGGGGCACATTAATGTCAACGAGGCTCGGACCTTTAAGTCTTGGATTAAGTCCGTTGCTAAGGAGTTGCGGAGTGTCAGGGCAGTCGCTGTGCTGGACTCCCGTGTGACCATCGGTGCAGCGGCCAAGGGCCGTTCAAGCAGCTTTGCAATTTCCAGGGCTCTGGGTACCAGTTTGGGCTACATCATTGGTTCGAACATTTTTCCTGGGCTCTTGCATTGCTACTCAGGAGATAATACAGCTGACGGTCCTTCGAGAGATCGAGCAGTCCCTCGCCCGTCTCGGCCAGCACCACTTTGGCTTACTGAACTCTTGGAGGGCGACCCCCGAAAATTTGACCTCGTCGTCGAGGCCTCCAAGATGAAGAAGCTGCCTGCCAGATGGCTCAGATTCCTTCTTTTACTGGGCGGGGACATTGAACGCAACCCAGGCCCTGCCCGGCGTCGAGGTCCTCGTGGCGAGCTGAACCTCGAGGCCGGTTTCGTGCAGAGTACGATTCACAAGATGAGGAAGGCAAAGTGCGCTTTGGAAGCCTGGATCCGAGACGAACTTCGTGTTGAGCCCGAGAGTGTCTTCACAGACAACCGTGCCACTGAGCTCGCCCTGCGCGGGTTCGGCTTGCACCTGTTTTCATCCGGCCTCCCGCGCTACTTGCTGGTTTACTCGATTACGGCTATCCAGAACGAGTTCCCGTCTTTTCGAAATCATCTGACAGGGGCATGGCAAATAGATAAAAAATGGCAGCTTGTCGAACCGGGCCAGTGCCGAAGTGTCCTGCCAGCCGCTGCGGTTAGAGCATGCCTCACGCTAGCTGCTCTCTGGGGTTGGAAGCTGTGGCTCGGGCTCGTCATCCTCGGGTTCCTCCGGCTTCGGACATGTTAAGGCCCTCTTTGTCCATTTAAAGGACCCTAAAACTGCCCGGTTTGCCCGGCGGCAACACGGCCGCGTGGACGACGAGTTTGCCATCGAAGTCGTCAAGAGCATCTTCGGTGACCTCCATCGCGATTCCCTGCTCTACCCGGCCTCGGTTTACACCTTCAGGCGACAATGGGATGCCGTCATGAGCCGCTTAGGCATCCCGCATCGGGCAGCTTCGAAAGGCGCTACTCCCGGGGTTCTCCGGGGCAGCGGTGCCACTCACCTTTATCAACAAACCGAGAATCTGCAGATGATCGCGTGGAGAGGCAGGTGGGCCAAACTTCGCACTCTCGAGCACTATCTCCAAGAAGTCGCTGCCCAGATGATGTTGAGCGAGCTCTCTGCCGTCGACAGGGGCCGTATCGCGACATTCGACGCTTCTTGTGAAAGCATGCTCGCGCTTGTTTGCCTGCCTCAAGTAAGTGCTGCGCAGTATTGAAGTAGTGGAAGAGGTTTGTTCAGCTGACAAACTTGCTGACCTTCGGCTCTCGTCTTTCAGTGGAGCTGGCAAAGCCAAGCTCTCGTACTCTTCAAGTCTGAGTTCCTCAGGCTGCTGCACTCGGGACTCTTCGTCAGAGCAGGTGGAAAGGAGCGAGTGGGATATATGCATGTGTTGAGTTTGGCAGGCTAGGGCGCACATGAATCATCCTGAGCTTGTAATGGGCTGCCATTTTGGTTCAAGTGTGATCCAAAACGGCAGTCCGTCTGTCTTTTGGAGGCGGGGG